CTGTCCCTGTGAACCCTTGTGCTGTGGTTCATCAACCAGCATGTCTTTCTGGTGCCACCAGCCCAAACCCTAGTGCACCTGTGAAGGCTACCACTGAGAGACGGAAGAGAAGGAAAAGAAAGTCGTTAACTAAACCTTCTAGTCAGGCTGACGACTGTCATACATGTGGTCTCACCGTAGCCAAGAGGGATGCTGCCTTTGAGTGTAGCATCTGCAATAAGCGGGTGTGCAGTCAGTGTGACGAGGACATACTAGACCAATATTACACCTTCATGGCGCGCTACCCATGCACGTGGTTCTGGTACATCTGCCCACAGTGCCGTATAAGGCCACTCTTTTCTAAAGGCTCGCTGATGGAGGTCGTAAAAGACATCACAGTGACTACTGTGATGCTGGCACCCACACAGACCACTACCATATGCCCAAGCAGCAAGAGTGTCAGCACTGCACCCCAACCAGTCGCGCCGGTGAATAGCCCTAAAAGACCAAAACGACGACCGGGTACGCTACCAATTACATCTGTCCGTAACCCTGAAGCCACTTTAGAGGCTTACCCCACTGTGCAACGGGAAAAATGAGTGGTAGTGGAGAAGAAGGTGCACCCTTCCCACAAAAAACCGCCCACAGCACACAAAATAGGGAGGCTGATGACAGGTCGAACTCCATCATCTTATTTAACGTCTCTGTGTGCCATGATAGTCTCCTTGAGAACAGAGAATTGTTTGACAAGCAGCAATGGGAAACCGTATGCACCACACTGGGACTGGGTAGTCTAGTAGCAAAACTGTATAGGCTCCATAAAGGCAACCACCCAGCTCCGGAAAAGCCTCTACCAGTGAGTTACCCTAAGCTCCGCTAAAGAAGCGGAAAGATTCCTGCTGATGTCACACACACTAGTCATCAACAGGTCATCCATCATTAGAGCCAGACGAGACCGCCCTTGGTCAGCTAGAAAAGTATCTCGCGAGGTGCCCCAAACGCTGAAACCAACAACTATGGTTGTCCACGGCATACCAGAACTGACAACCGGCACAGTCGTGGAAAAGTATGCTCACGACTTCCAGCAATGGCGGTGGTTGTCAGCGCGGATGGGGCTAAATGGGATAGCAGCTGCAGCGGTCTGCAGACTGCCACGTCCCTCACATTTGACGGCGATAAAAGCACCCCGGTTGATGGCCGTTAACTTCGGCTGTCATGAACTTTTAACCAGTGTACTGCAAACCTGGTACACAGTAAAAGATAACATCAGTGGGAATGTTGGCTGCTGTGAAAGCAGGCCTAGGACGCTGCGACAACAGCAAATGGCAGCACCGCCCACTGCCGAAGTCACCATCACTATCAACAGACAAGATGCACAATCAAGCCTGGACTCTATGAAACCCTCAGAAACCATTATGGGAAAAAACGTAATTGGGCCGGTTCCACTGCAGCTGGCCGTCCTGTAGCAAGTTTCTTCACTACGCACGACTCCCTCCAGTCTGCCAGCACCAAGATAGCCCTTGTCGTTAGAAACATATCCAAGTGTCTTTACAGTAATGTGAGGGGACTTAGAAGTAAAATTGGGGAATTACGATTTCTCTGTTCCTACCTTGCTCCAACGATCATAATCGTGACAGAAACTTGGTTATCACCGGACATTAGCGACGTCGAAACTAGTATAGACGGCGTGCGTCTGCTCAGGAGAGACGGGGAGTTTAAGGAAGGAGGCGGAGTGGCGATGCTTATGAGTGATAACCTTAAAAGTGAACGAGCAACTGAAACCCCACCTTCGGGGCTCCCAGATTCCATCTGGTGTCAAGTTAAGGTTGGACACACCAAGTTTCTAGTAGGAGGCGTCCACAGAACACCTACTAGCAGCGTGGAAGATAACCGACAACTGCTGCAAGTAATGTCCCGAGTGACGCCCATCGGATACGACCAGGTCATTATAGCCGGCGACTTTAATGCTCCGACCCTCAATCTTGGGCAGGACAGGGGAGCCTCAAGCCGAAGGTTTGGCTGAAACCTACTCAACACTATCCAAAAGGCTGGGCTGCACGCGAATATTGGTGATAACACTCGCTGGGGGTCGGGCGGAAAGCAGTCCAAACTGGACTACCTTTTTACCAGTGACCCACTGCTGGTAGGAAATGCACAGGTTCAAACCCCCTCGGCAGCAGCGATCACGGCGTGGAAGTGTTCTATCTGGTACTCTCCGAACAACTATCATGGAAGGCATCGCGCCCTTGTCTTTGCTACAACAAAGCGAACTACGCTGCGGTGAACCAATATCTATCGACAGCACCAAGGCCTCAGGAGTGGAGCAACCTGTCGATTGGCCAGCATTGGGAACTAGTCAGAGATATCACCAAGAGGACTGTCTCTTGAAACGTCCCAGTAATCACAGCAATACCACGGAAACGAACCTCATGGTTGAAGCGAGGCTCTGAAAGCCTTTTGGGAGCCAAGAGGAAAGCATGGCACAGGTGGAGGACCTCCAGAAAAGTGTGTGACCACGCCGTGTATACTGCCCTAAGAAATCGATGTAACATTAGAGTGAGGGGAGACAGGAGGTCATTCCAGACGAACCTTGCCCAAAAGCTCCAGGCAAATCCCAAAAACCTATATCGCTTTATGGCAGGCAGAAAATCCACCAGCCAGGGGGCTTGCGTCCTGAAAGGCCTAAACGGAGAGGACCTCCACGGACTAGAGATCACCGAAGCCCTCAGCGTCACCTTCGATACGCAACTCAATACGTCCCTATCAAACCAAAATTACCAACTGTCCGACCGAAATTCAGCACCACCGAACGCAGTAGAGTTACCTGGAACAAAGGTAACTCCTGCTATGGTCCTCGAAAAACTGTCAAAGCTCCGCCCAGAGAAATCACTAGGGTGTGCTGGAACAATGCGCGGGTGCCTTGTGCGGTCCGCCGTGTGACTTGTTTCAACACTCCTCAGACAACCACGTGCTTCCACAAAAGTGGAAAAGTGCTATTCTGTCCCCCGTCTTCAAAGGTGGAGACGGGCAGAACCCAAAATGCTACCGGCCCATAGCCCTCCTACCAGTGGTGTCAAAAGTAATGGAGAGTCTAGTAGACGACCATCTCAGGGAGTACTTAGAAAAGGGGGGAGCACTTAGCGGTGCACAACACGGTTTCAGAAAGGGTAGGTCCTGTGCTGCAAACATTCTGGCGGCAGGTGATAAGTGGACGGTATGCTGGGACCTCCAAATTCCTGTCCCTGTTATTTTCGTGGATTTTACTAAGGCCTTCGACACAGTTCCACACAACGTTCTTATTCACAAAACAGAAAGGTTGGGCATCAAGGGGCAAGTGCTTTCATGGTTGCAGGAGTATCTAGGCGGCAGACAATTCTGCACAAAAGCCAACAGTTTGCCCGACCTGGAGGACATCATCATCTGGTGTATCACAAGGGGCGATTCTGGGTCCTCCGCTAGTCCTTCTTTTTGTGGATGACCTCCCACTGAATCTCAGCCCCCAATTCTACTTTACGCTGATGATGTTAGGCTATGGAGAGCTGTGACGTCAGAAACTATCAAGTGCACTGCACAGTGATCTCAGATTAATTGCAGAGTGGGTGGACAATAATGGACTTGCATTTAACTTAGACAAATGCCGAGCCGTGTTTTTCCACACCCCAGACTCTCAGAAGGTACCCTATTCTCTCTGTGGAACATAACTCTTCCACGCCACCACGGAGAAAGACCTGGGACTAATACCAACTGACAAACTAGACACTAGCCCCAATTATCCAGGAGATGCCTCCAGAGCCTACGCAGTACTGCACTTAATGCGCAGACAACTGGGTGCCCTGACCCCGGAATTCTTTTTAAAGCTGCACAAGACCTATACACTACCCCACCTAGAGGTACACAACGTCATTGCACCACCGTATCCGAAAAGAGACGTGAAGCTCCTGGAGAAAGTCTAAAGGCGAGCTACAAAGGGTGTCGTGGGAATGAGGCAAAGACTATATCAGGACAGGCTGAAAGATCTAGGGCTCTTCTCCCCAAGCTACCGCAGATTACGTCGTGGCTTGATAACGGCCTACAAAATACTAAGTGACCCAAGTCATCCGAACAGTGGAATCCTACCGAACGGCCACTATGGCGATCCTCGTGGTAACCCAAGAAGGATCGTCCACCAAAGAGCGAAAACCTGTGTGCGACTACACCTCTCTGCGAGTTTTTGGCCACTGGAACACGTTGCCTGCTGAGATTGCTACTGCTCCGTCTGTTGACAGCTTCAAGAAGAGGTTGGACAGTTGCGCAGCGACGCATGGTTTGCGCTCATCCAACTGGGATGTGGACTAGGCTAACACGACTTACTAACTCGGTACGACCAACCGTTACTGAACACTTAGTAAAACCACTATCACTGAGAACTTGGCTTGACCTTATACCTTCCTGTAGACGGCCCCTCCAGTTGCCGTCCTCTACTAAAAGAATTACTATATTCCCATTTGTCCTATAATGTTATTTATTCTTCTTATTTCTGACTCTACGTTCTCGAGCTTTAACAAAAGCTCTCCCTATCACCTATTCCCCATGAACCTACCAATGTTTTATTATTCTGTGCCGTTTCCTTCTTCCTATTCTTTTTTCATATATTATTCCTCCTTTTTTCTGTTTCTTTTCCTATTTTGTTCCTCTCTGCACTTCCTCTCCCTTGATTTTTCTGCGCATATTTTTCACCTCCTTTTTACAACCAGTCCGACCAATTGTCTGCTGGCACGATACTTGAGGAGCCCATCTGCACCACAGTCCTCGGAAGAAAAAGCAAACAAACAAACAACACTCCCTACAAATCTAAACAACACCCAACCGCCTGTCGGGCTAACCAGAGCTACAGCAATCGAGTGGGTGAACCTACTACATTTGAGTCCACCAAAAACCTAGAACCGTCCCGCAAGACCTAGAAGCGAGCGCGAAAAAATCAATTGGTTTACAGTAGCTCGTTAAAAGATATTGGATTTTGGATATTGAAATGCGCTCTCCACACGGATCAAGGTCATTGTTGAGGTGGTTAGCGATTGTGGCATTTGTGCTTATGGTTGGTTGCAGTTTTAGGAACCCCGAGTTTTTGACTTTAAGTAGGGGATATCTTCAATTGACTGTAGTCCAAGCAAAAGCACAGAAGTGACTTAATGTCACTTACACGCGAATATCAGATTGAAAAATGGGCTATTTTTGAGTATAAAACATGCCAGCAGACATTCTACTCTATTCTCTGTTGTCAGCAATTTTTTATTGCTACATAAACTAGTAGTATGATACCAAATCTCACTTTCAGATTCTTGTTCCAGTGTATGCGTTCAAAGTTTCCTAGGTCATAAGTCATCGGTTTTGCATAGGCGCGATCTAGTCTGCTGCAAATCACTCGTTTACTATCTCGTTTGGGTTAAATTGTCTGTGATCGAAAGCGAATAGTTAATATGAGCTCCAACCACCTAGTTCATTTGATGTCACTACCAAAAACAATCCCACTTAGTTATCGCGTACTAGACTCTATGACATTTATCGGTATCGGTGTTTGCGCTTAATTAAAAGTCCTTTTACGGTGTCTCTTTAGAGGAAATAATGCCCATCTAAGGAATAGTCTGTGCAATTTAGACGAATCGAGGAGTGATAGGATCATGAATTTTATCGTGAACTATCGTTTACATATGTAAACAATATGCTTATACTTGTAGGTCATTAACAAGCACCATTCAGCAGACATACTTATGGAAAACCGTTTGGACTCCTGTGGTCAAGGGGAACTGTTCAGGAGTTTCCTATCTTCGAGACCGTATGCAGTATCAGTACGTGAAGAAAGTGGCTTTTACAAGTAGTATTTGTGTCCATTTCTATTAGGGTCTGAACTGAGTTATGTTTCGATATCGATTTCAAGCTGTGTTAGGTTTTGGGAAGTAGCGTTTGGCATAATGTCTTCGTCATTGTATCTTGGTGTCTGGGCACTGAGCAGTTGTGTAATCCTCATAAACCCAACACCCTAGTGAATAGACCTGGAAATACTTTCGTCAGGATTCGTAAAACCAATCTCATTGCAAGAGGACGATGAGAGAACTTAATTGTGTCAGTAACAGTAACTGTTAGTTACTTTTCTGTTTTCGGATGTGCGATAACATTTCCACCCAGAGAGTAAGAGCTAGAATTTGACAGTCCCGATCCATTTTCGATGTCCTACACTTTCTTGTGTTGAACGGAGGCAAGTTATTAGTCCAGTTTAGGGTTTTCATTTAGTCCTGGAAGGTATACATGTGGGGTCACAAATTTTCCTCCAATTCTTAAGGTAATCTTCATTTAACAGTAGCTATGAGTTGAACTAGTCTGATGTTGTTTACAAAATGAAAAATAGTATTGGACCAAAGTCGGAACTTGGAAGGACTTCATTTAGCGTCGTAAACCAAAAAAATAAGTCAGCTATAGTTCATTGCAGTCCCTTTTTGATCATGTTGCTTTCACAGATGATATTTTCCTGTACAGTAAGTCATCAAATCAGCCAAATGTGAATAGACCTTTTGTTTTACAGAATGAGCCTAGTTGTTCCAGATAATAGACAAGTTGGTTTTATAAAAGCCATCGGGTATAAAGCTATGATGATTGCCACTTCATCATCAGCATGGGACCAGGCATTACTGCGTAACGGTTCAAGTTCCCATACCTCATATTAGCACACTAAGCAATAAAATGAGAGATAAAGATTGCCACTTACTATTGAGTTAATGAGTGGATAATCAAAAAGTGATCCGGTCATCACTCCTTTCATGAGCGTTGTGGTGGAGTATACCAAAGTTATTTGTCTAGAGTTCAAGAGTCAGTTTGATTCCCCGTTTATGTACTGATATGACTACCACTTATTTCCAGTCAAATAGCAATCTGCCTTCAATAAAGAAAAAAACCAAACAGCCTGCTATTGGGAAGTAGAAGAACGCACCTATTTTGAGCACTATGTAAGCAAACGCCAAGTATTTCAAATTTATAAGGAAATAAGCCCCTTAAACTTGTATGGATGCTGAAAAGTTGAAATCCTTTGCAACATAGCCCGTTAGTCATTCGAATATCATGGCACTGTGTAAAAAGTGAAGTCGGTTTTCATGAGCTAGCAAATCAGCTACTTCGGCGTTCCATAATTCTTGGTTATGTGATCATTGGACACCTAAGTGAAGCTCTGGAGCGGCAAACCCGAGAAAACCAGGCAGGTACAAGCCTTGTCGTGGGTGTATCGATCAGGTCTTAGCCCCTTCGCCGTCAGGTGTTGAAAAAAGGCATACTTACCGGCTCTCGACACTCTCTGTACCTCTTAACATGAAGGCAGCATTCAATTCCGTAGAATAAGAGGTTTTCTGGCATTCAGTACATTACCGTTTTGAAGTCTGTGGTCAAACGTCGATGGACATGTTGGAGCCTATGATGAGGCATCAGGTGAGTTGTGTAAACCAAGAGGTGTCTAATAATAGGGGTGAAGTGGCCGAGCTCGTTGACCACTTCACTAATCTGGGAGGTCGGACGAGTCCTGGTGAGTCAGTGACAGGTAATCTCTGCGGTGATACTAAAGACGATTGGATTTTGCCAACCTATACCACATATGATGTCTGTATGATATCCGATTGTCGAGTATGCTGCGCTGCTGTTTGCTGTGTCCTAATATGTGGCTATAAAACAATGGCCGTTAGAGATGGAGAACGTGATTGAGCTCCTAGTTTTCGACCACCGTTATCTTCGCGGAATGGGTGGTGTGTCGTGGTGTCATCATATCAGTAGAATTCAGGCGTAGAGTTTTGAGCAGAAGAGGAGCGTCAGTCTAGGAGGTTGTGGATCTTCATCGACTCAGATGGCTGAAACATGCTCTATGCAAGTTTCGTCACCGTCTGTTTCATTGCATAATGTTGGCTGAAGTAGCTTTAGACCGTAGAAATGCAAGGAGTGATCAGACTAAAACGCAGCATCATTCTGTGAGGTCTCAGATCATGTATTGGTCTAAGACGGGTAGACAAATGTAGACTTGCTTGCTGAGTTCCGTGTGACAACAGAAATCGGTAGTGGGATTTCTTGGCGATTTGGCTCAGGTTTGATCTCATTGGTGCAGGTCCACCCACACATTATTTTCACTTAGTCGTCATACTGAATTTCATTAGTTTCATTCTTTCTCGTCCCCTTTTTACAACTTTTTGTTACTGTTGGCTACTTTCTGCCCCATTTTTTCTCATTCTTTTGCTTCGCACCTTGATATACTGATTTGAGGTGTGGGAGCTTGAATCCTCACATAGTTATGTCGAGTTCCGCATTGATGCTGACTGACTGACTCATTACTCAGAAGCACATGGAACCAAAGCATGTACTGGTTTAATTTATCGTGTATTTCTTCATATCAACACTATATTTTAATTTTGTTTTCTTTCACATTACAGAACACTAAATTTTCTGGGAAATTAGCTTAGCCCTAAGTTTGCCCTGTTTTACCTGTTGTGAGCCCATGCTGATGCTGTGCCAGTTAAGAAATATAATTTTGTGACAAGTGGAGGGCTTTCAAAACACTCAACAAATGTTACTACTTTTTCACTCGTATCACTGATACTGTATGTGCAACTCTATCACTACTAGTTGAGTTTACTCTTACTGTCAGATTATATACTGGAAACAGGTGTCCATGGAAAAACTCATTGTTGCATTTTTTTTCCTTTTCAGCCCTAAGTCCTATTTGCTAAAGACGAAAAACAGCGGTTGACGCGGTAAGGCGAGCGGAAGTTGTCCCCAAATGTTCATTCCATTTCGAGTGAATATTCCTTGTTAGGTTAGCTATATTTCAACTATGAAGTACTTCTGGCACCATGTTGTCTGCATACTGTTGTGTATTTTTCTTCAAGTAACGTGTAATACTGCACACCCGAAGCTACTGGTAATTTCTTTGGATGGCTTCCGCCATGACTACCTAGATCGTGCTAAACTTAGAAATATCAACATTTCTTCTTTCGAGATGATTTGGAACTCCGGATTTCGTGTTTTAAGAGTTCATAATGAATTTATCACTCGAACAGGACCGAATCATATGTCTTTAGTCACTGGAATGCATGAAGAAAGTCATGGAATTATCGACAATGTTTTTTATGATCCAAATCTTAAGGATACTTTCGACCTTGTAAATGAACAACAAGCATCTCAATCAAAATGGTTTGACGTTGGATCAGAACCAATTTGGGTGACGAATCAGCGTCATGGTTATCAAAGCGCTGTCTATTTTTGGCCTGGCAGCGATGCGAAAATCAAAGGATATTTACCCACTTTTCACTTTTCTCCTTATAACCCCGAGGTTTCTTTCGTTGACCGCATAAATCGCATTGTTGAGTATTTGAGTCTAAATGAAGTTACACTGGGTCTAATATACTTTCATGAACCTGATTCACAAGGTCATTTGACTGGACCTGATTCCTCAGAAATTTACAATATTATTAGCAAATTAAATGATGATATTGGACATTTGCTATCATTAGTTGATGCTAAACCATCTTTAAAGGCATCGCTGAATATTATTGTTACGAGTGATCACGGTATGTCCTCAGTGAGCACCAATCGAACAATTATTCTACACGATTATATTGATGAAAGTATGTACTTTAGTCCAGGACCAGATCATCGCATTGTTTGGTCATTATGGCCGAAAGATGGTAATTTGTTTTCATAAATTTCTTCTAAATGTTTAAAGGAGTATCACCTATTGATTTATACAAAATGTTGGTCAAGAAACATTCAAAAATGAATGTTTTTCTGAAGGAAAATGTACCAACTCGTTTATACTACTCTAAAAATAGACGAATCAGCCCACTAATTGTTTATTGTGAACCTGGCTGGATGATTGTTAGATCAAAAGAATCAGTTGTTGAATTTAGTAAGTTATGTGATATGATTATATGTCAATTCCTCATTTGCTTGGAATTGGCATACTTTTGTTTCTTAAACCTTTTTTTATTTTTAATTTGCTTTATTTACTCTTATTTGTAGAGAGATGTCAACTAACCTCAGGGTCTAGTTGATCTGATTGTCTGTAAATTGATAGCACAGAGGTTCTGTTAGAAAGACTGATTGAAACAGTCAGCACTTAACATCTGAAATTCCTACTAAAAGTGCTGATTATGACAATCTTCCGCTGCAAGCGTTCATCGCATATGGTGAGATACTTGAGCTTGAGAATTGATGATATCTCAGCACTGCATAAAGTAAACCATTGGGTCATTAGTCGTCAGCAAGATATTGTTCCGTTTTTGACGCTCGTCCATGGACTTTAGTAACAAGGCATCAATTTAGGCCGCGGTTGTATTGACTAAATATTTACACTGCGCCAGGTTCTGGAATATAGGCACGCTTACCGACGCCCAACACTAGCTGTATTTCTCGACCTGAAGGTGGCACTCGAATCCGTTGATAGAGAAGTCTTACAACAGTGTCTCTCACTGAGAGGCGTGCCGAGTAAGTACGTCACCTTATTGAAGCCTCTCTACTCGAACACTTGTGGGTGTGGTAAAGCCTATGGTGAGATGTCAGGTGAGCTATACTCATCGAGTGGTGTCCGTCAAGGGTGCCCACTGTCTCCATTCTTATTCAATTTTACCATAGGTATTCTCATGGAGGTCTCCCTCTCGTCACCTGATTACACAGACGTTGACCTAATCGTAGGAGAATTTTCATTAGACCTAGAATGTCCAGATGACATAGTCCTGTTAGGTGAAGACGCTGACAAGATGCAGAGTCTTCTGAACACTGAGTGGCAATTTGAGAATGTTTGAGATGCTTTTCTCACCACCCAAATGCAAATTGTTGCTCCACGATTGGTCTTCAACGGTGCCACGGCTAATAATAGAGAGTGAAGTGATTCAGTGTGTCGACCACTTCATTTACCTGGGAAGTGGGATCAGCCCTGGTGCGTTGGTTAGTGGCTGATGAAATCTCTGCATGGATACAACAGGCTCAGATGGCTTTTGCCAACTTACGCCACCTATGGCGTCGCCGTGATATCCGATTATCTATTAAGGGTCGCGTCTAGTGCACAGCCGTCTGATCTGTTCTAGTGTATGGCTGTGAAACATGGCTATTAAAGGTGGAAGACATGAGAAGGCTGGCTTCAGGTGTTTGACTATGGTTGCCTTCTTAGTGTAGGCCGTATTCCGTGTGTCCACACGTCGCCGTCTGCCTCGTCACACAATGTTGGTCGAAGTAGGTTCAGGCTGGAAAAAGGCTCGAGGCTCTCGGCCAGACTAAAACATGGTATCAATGTATGAAGTGTGTGACTGTTGGTTTGAGCCATGTAGGGTGATGCAGACTTGGTGGTTGGGGTCGGTGGGACAAGAGGAACCAGTGGTTGGAGACTGACTCTAGGTGATATGGTTGAGAACCGATTTCAGTGACGTAGATGTATACACACATTATCCTCATCTTAATGACGCTATACGGAATCTCATCATTTTTCCATTCTTCGTTTCTATCTTTTCGTACTTTATATTTCTTTTGAGTGAATTTTTTTATCTTCATCTTGCGTCTCACTGCCTTTTTGCTTGGTATACTGATATGAGGTGTGGCAACTCAAACCGTTACGCAGTAATGCCTGATCCTATGTTGATATTGATGATGACGATTAGGCTACAAACTATTTGAGGGGAAACTATGTGTAATCTGATATAATATAGCATCAAGTGAAGTGTGTTGTTATGTATTTCATAATAATAATAAATAAGCTGAAACTTACTATCCTTAGAAGCCGAGAAGTTCCTGCAGTTTTATTTAAGCTAGCTTTTATAATACGAACACCTGTAATGTTTCAACCGCGTTTATTCTTCTAGACGACTCTAGTCTTTTCTGACTGCTATCAACCCTTTTTCTTGTTTCTTTGAGATTTCATTTACACAGTTCTATTCAAAGTCATGAAAAACACCCATCCAGCTCAACAAGCACCTGCACATTCATGTGGCAGGTAAGGAGCCGTATATATTGTGAAGAATTATTCTACTACTTGGCTGTCCAAACCCCGTTAGTTGTGACAGGATTTGATCCCCTGACATAGTGTGAAAGTTGACTGCCCAGACCAATAAACCACTGTTTGATCCTGGTGGGAGATTCTCTGAATAATAATTTGAGATTGTTTGGGATGCGTTAGTTGCATACTAAATCCAGGTTATTGCTTCACTTTTGCTTTGCATAGCTATCCAGTCCAACAGGAAAAGATTTAGTGCTTGATAACATTTACCTGTCGTTACGCGGACAGTTCCTACAACCTTGGTGGGTTGGTGGTCAAAAACATCTTGATAGAGATACCAAACACTTAACTGGCTTTTACTGACTTGCACCATTTATGGTGCCTGTGAGATACCTGAATACATCTGAGATCTATATTGTAATGCACAGAAGTGTGTAGACCGTTTTAATAGATAAATGTAAAACTTGGTTATAGTGGGCAAATATTTTACGAATGGTCTAGGCATTTGGACAGTGCTGTGTAGGATAACAAATAGGTTTTTCGGTGACTGGATGCTGTGGCTTGAAGATCTCAAAGGTGCATATTCCATTCATTCCTTATCTACATCTTATTTGTGTATCTATTCCTTATACCTAATTTAATTCTTTTGCTATTTTTTTTACTGGTGATCTTACTGTCATTTCCCTGTCTTCATGTCTACAAAATGCAATTGCATCAAATTTGCTTCATATTTCCTCAGTCAACTTACACCTACATAGTTTCTTCGACCAGACATTGGTTCGAATAAAAGTTGCAATGTATGAAATATATTTTGTGTCCGAACAATTGGAATAAAAGCACATATCATTCTGGCGATTGGTGTTAGTGGCCATACAAATCGAGTACCTGAAAAAAGAGCATCAAATTTATGAAGTTGGTCGTAATCCCCGAAATCTATACTAAACGACTGGTGTTATGAACTTTTAGAACCCATTGGCTATTAAAGCTATTTATGTTCTCAGTTGACGTTGCATGGCCAAATAATGGTTCTCAGATTAAACCAAAAGAGCCACACTGGCAAGGCTAACGACACTTCTTGAAAATCGACCTTTATCTTTTTCTGTAAACTATTCAATGATGTCTTTTTATAACCCTAGCTTGCAACAAGCTAAGTTAACCGACAAATATCGACTAAGAGTTGACGATATTGTGCGTAAGGAAGGCAACTGTAAAAATCCCATTTCAACAGTCGCTCCTCATCACTTATGACGCTTACAAGGACAAACTGTTTGGTTGAAATATCAGAATAAAGGTTAGACATTCTATGATACAAGGCATCTAGTTGTTTTCGTCTATGTTTGGTTAGTTTAACGTACGGAACTTTGGTTGTGTGTTTACATGCTTACTGGTTCCTTTGGAACTGAGTATATTCGTCGTGTCACGCTCTCATTTGATAAAAGTGCTCGCAAACAATACCTAGTTTAATTGTGCTTAGTTGATTAAAATATAATCGGTGTGACTTTGTTAAGGTCGGATTGGGGTGTCGATGATATCTATATTATGTGGTGACGAGTTTGACTGCAAAAACCTGAAAAATCAACGCTGGTCATCAATTTTTACTCCAAATTCGTATTCCTGGATGTGGTACCAGCAGGAAGATTTGATACTTCTGTTCGAAGATGAGTGTACGGCAGATTAACATGAAATGGGCTCCAGTTTCCAAAGCCATCTCCTATTAGGTATCAAAAAGAACCTTGTGCTTTTATATTCAAGGACTTTGCTTTGAGGATACACTAAACAATGAATTAACATATCTATGTGACATATTGGAGAAATGGTGTTCGTTGAGATTCATTGACTTTACATTCAAGAAAAGCCACAAACAAAAGTTGTCGATTGTGTTTACGAAAATTCTCTGCATACTACAGCCAAAATTATCGAAATCTTCTTTCAAAGTCTCTTAGGAGGATATTTCATGCAATTGGTCTGAAAATTACATTCTTTAGTAGATAGTTAATCCATTATTGTACTAATGACAGAATACCGGATTTGAAAACCTCAATGTGCATCGATCAGTGTTTTGTTCCTGTGGAGCAGTATACACTGACTGTACACAGTGTTAAGCTAGTAAAAATATTTTGGAATATTATCCAGTTCATTTTTCTAAAATGGAAAATCAGAATACAAACTTCTTTACTCCTGAATACCTCTGAATATCTGACTTCTTCTAGCAGTTCTATTAAAGTGGTTTACAGACCGCCTCCCTTACAATTGCAGTAGACTTCGACTACATCATCTGTGCTTGCTTAACCAAATCATTGAGGATTCCTGATCATTTGATTTTTGTTTTCAGAAACATTGGATTTACTCATGGACCTCACCATGACTAGAGGAGTAATTTCCGGTTTCCTACTTTATTTGTTACATTTTTCCACTATCCGTTTTCCAACTTTTTACTGCCTCGTTTGTTTTACTCTCCCAAGTTGACTGATTCATTTTCAACAAAGAGTGATCAATTTGACCCAGCATATCAACGGGAGGTTACAAGTATCAAGCAACAGCTGATACTCGTTTTGCAAGAGGTGACTGTCACTCCCAAGTAGCCTGGTGGATAACTCTGGCGGTTGAAGCGATGAATACTGGGCTGAGTCTCAGTGGGAACAACATCACTCACCGTATTTGCAGATACATCCGGCTGACTAGTCCCAAACAGGATGAAACGCGCCTAGTGGATACCACTGCTAGCCACCAAGCAGACTCATTTTCACCTTTGTTGCAAAACAGCTATTCTTGGTTTTAGCCTTCCTCTTTCTTCTAGGCTATTGTTATTACGTAACAATTTTTCAAGACACCACTATCATCCAATTGGTTTCTTCACTCCTACGTCTTTGTTGTATGTCTATCCATAGAAAAGTATTAAAAGGCTTATGAAATTAATTTCAGTGTAGATTTTGGACAATACTGTCGAGTATAATTCCATCATAGTTCTTTTTTATGCACCACATAGTGAAACATTATTTACTGACGACTTTTCGAGAAGAATGCATTGCTCCATAATCATATCAAGGTGACCACAACTTTCTTATGTAGTTTATTAGTGATTGTACAACAGGTGTGGTGCATAATTTTGCTCATAAACTTAAAAATGTTCGCTACATTCAGTGACTTATTATCGATAGACAATCAATCTATTGTTTCTTATAACACTGCTATTTATAGCCAGTTGTTTAATTGTTTCTTTCTTGTCATTTCATACATCAGCTAAACTTGGAGATCATGGTTATGATCCTGAAGACAGTGAAATGTCCCCATTTTTTCTGGCCATGGGACCAGGTTTTAGAAATATTACCGGAAGAAGAACAGTCAATTCAATTCGACTAATTGATATTTATCCACTTATGTGTGCTTTACTCAACTTGACAGAACCAGCTCCAAATAATGGTAGTTTGTCACGTGTGGTTCATCTTCTACGTGACCATGGCGGTTATTTGTCAAGCTTTGTAGATATGTTTACTGGTTAGTTTTATTGAATTGTTTGATTATGAATTTTTTTTATTATTTTAAAATTTGCTGCTGGTTACTGATTTGTTCGGTATGGATCACTCTATATATCATAGTTTGTCATGATTATTCTTTGAACGAGTCTTTTTACGTGTATGTAATGTTCACCACTATCAGTGATGGATAACACCAGGCTATATTTCAGATCTATTATATGAGCTTTTATGGTACTTTCTAACTATCTAAACTTTAGGGCGACTAACATTGTTCGAGTATGTGAAGTCGTAGTGCCTAAACTGACCAGCACTAGTTCATAGTATCTTTGATGGAATACAACTATGCAGAACTATGAAGAAAAAAGAATATTCACTACCATTTTGTAGTGAAGAGGGCTGTGTTCTTTATGACTAAGTATAGAGAGGACTTCAAACCATGTTATTCCAGTGAACTGCAGAATTCTTATCAAATCAGTTACTAAATTTTTTTACCTATGATGACTGTTGCTTTCAAAGGAAATCGCACTCTTGGATTCATGCAGATTTCTGTAATATCGTCGAGGAATAACCTCTTACGGTAATCGTTTATTTTTCTGTGCTTATACACAATCATGACCAGAATCATACAACCTGAACAATTACGGTTTACTGCTAATGTCAACCGGTCATCTGATGTGTGCTGTTTGAATAAGTTCAGTCCAGTATTTCAAAGCTGAAGGTAATAAACTAACCAACTGGCTTTTGGAATATAGATCTATCTTGTGATGTGATTGGGGAAAAGGTAAAGGGTTCTGACCTATTTTTTAAACTACAAGATATGCCATATTCAACAAAAATAAAATTTTACGCAATAGATTGGTCAATATATTTTGAAGAGAATATTTCAGTGGATTAGATACGTGATTGATGGTGGATTTACTTGAACTTATGAACTTCTATTAGCGGGTGGGTGTGTAGGAACTCGTGTATTGATCATAGTTGTGAAAATTCTGACGGTGAGACATAAACGTATAGAATTTCTGTAAGAGGACTGTAACACTAGAAGAACACTATTCTTGCATAGATAATTTCATAGGGGAGCTGAACTGAAGCTTGTGCCTTGATTGACGTTGACAGTTGTGCACAGAAAAGATGCAGGCTGAGACAGTAATTAAACCGCTTAGAAAAATTGTTACTAAAGCTGCAAATTATTTACCGCCACCTATTGGCTAAATGTAAACTTATATGGTGCTTTGCTACTGTATTGTCAGTATATCCATGGACTGGATGAATAAAATGTGGATTTTTGGTTAGCAAACAGTGAATTTCAACGGTTTTGCTAAGGAATAAAGAGCGGTTTATCAAATCAGTTCATGAACAGAAACTGATGTTCCTCATAGACAGACCTACATACAGTTGTGAAATGCTTTGGAATATCCAAACAATAAATATCTTAATGGTTACATCTTGAGAGAATTCGTTCGTCAACTGATGTTGTTCGGTATCGTTCACCTGTAAAGTATTAAAACATCCCTGAGGGTCAATAAATATTTAACAAGGGTATCCAGAACTAGTTTGATGTTTCACATATTTGGGGTAAGTTGTAAATAAAATAACATAAGGAGCTGATAGTTGGCTAGACATCACGAAAACTACTATACACATAAGTGTTCCGAAGTCAATGGCATACCAACTTACCTCTGATTGACAAATTAATCACTCGATTGGCAGTGGAGTATGTCAAGTGTTATTATTATTTGTCCCTTGGGTTCCTAGTGGAACATAAGGCTTGAGTAGCACGTCACCATTTCACTCTCTCTCTGCAGTCTTTTCAACCCGGCTCCACAACTGCCCACAAGCTTTCATTTCTTCCTCACATAATCTCCTCCATGTCACCCTCAGCTGGGATACCCAACTCGTCGTTTCCGCTTTGGATTCCACTCGACGGCCTGACCTGACCTGGTACGTGATGTCCACAAACGGTTTTCTCAGTATATGTCCAATCCAATCCATCTCCACTTTTCTGTGCATATTTGTTGAGTGATGGGTTCTTGGTTGGTTCATTGAGAGTCAACCAGAGTTGCTGGTAGCTTATTCTTATTATTCTGGCCATCTGATCTTGAGTATTAAGTGAGCATAGGTGGCAGCTGTTGATGACGTATGTCTGTAGTTTATTGGAAATGCTTTTCATGACGCTCCAAGTCTCTGAATGGACCATATGGAAGGACTGACTTGACTGAGATTAGTGTTGAAACTCCGGATGTTGTTCGCGCTTGATGCTGGCTGAGTGGAGTGCTGTACATCTCCACACTGATTTCAAGTTGATGAAGGCATGTCTTGCTGGCTTTCCGATCCTGGTTTTGACATCCTCATCTGTGCCGCCGCTGCTACCTGTAGTTGGAAGGATGCTGCCTAGGTGGTAGGTGAAAGATACAACTTCGTTTACATTTCTCCCGTTGATGGTGATTGGTGCTTCTTGTTGTTATTGTTGTTGGTTGGTTGGTTGGTTATTTACATCACCTCCGTCTTCTCTACGTTCATTTGAATTCCCGTTTTCGCTGCCTCTGCTGTCAACTTATTGGTTTTTTCCTGTAGTTCTTCGAGTTTGTCCAACATTAGACACGAATCATCATCGGCGAAATACAAATCTTTTAGGGTCTTTTTATCAGTCCAGCCAGCTTATACCCATCTTCTCGCTCCTCACAGTTGTCTGCTGCATGATCCAGACGGCCATAATCAGGAAGATGATCCGTGATAGATAGTAGGCAGCCTTGTTTTACTCCTGTCTTCACTTCAAAGGCGTCACTGAGCTTCCCACTGTGAATCGCTTGGCATGTGGCGTCGTCATATAGGTGTTGAATGAGGTTGATAAATGTTTCTGGTATTCTGTACTGTTGAAGCAGCTGCTTGCCAAATAACTTCTCAGTCGATGCTATCGAAGGCCTTTTCAAAGTCGATGAAGTTGAGGTAGAGAGTTGACTGCCATTCTATACTCTGTTCTATGATGATGAGTAGCGTTGCAATTTGATCCACACATGATTTGTACTTCCTGAATCCAGCCTGCCTGTTCCGGTCATAGTCTTGAATCCAGCGCATTGGTTAGTCTCTGCAGGATGATGCGGCTTAATATTTTGCTTGCTCTGGGTGGACAGGAGAATGATTCGGCGCCAGTTCTTGCAAACACTTAGGTCTCCATTCTTTGGGATTTTGACAAGGTAGCCCTTCTTCCAATCAGTCGGCAGGTACCTTTTCTTCCTTCTTTCCAAACCTTGTGCATTACTGGTGTGAGTATGTCCGCTGTTGTCCCTGCGTCTGCTGTCAGTGCTTCTGGTGGGATTCCATGTGGTCCTGCTGCTTTCCTGCATTTCAGTAGCCTTATGGCGTTCAGGACTTCGACTTTTGTTGGAGGATTTGTGTTAACTTGTAGTTTTGTGGCTGGGCTGCAGGTGGTATTTCTGGACGAAGTGCAGGTGGTGGTGTTGGTCGATTGAGGAGCTTTTTGAAGTGGTCAGCCCATCGTTTCGTTTGTTTCTCTTCTTTGGTGATTAGATTTCCGTCATCATGTTTTATTGGTTTCATCGGTGTTGATCTCTTCCCTCCCAGATACAATATTGTCAGGTCCCTCCTACTAGCAGTCTGTTCTGCTTCTTTTGCCAGTGTGTCGTGGAAGTGTCTTTTGTCTATGCGTGCACTCTTCTTCATTCCGTTTTCCAGTGTAGTGTTTTATAGGTTGTGTTCAGTCCCTCTTTTCGTTGTTCATCCTTGCAATGCACTGTACTGGTTCATCTGCCTCACCATCTTCCTCTCCCTCCACTATCACCTCCCATGTGTCCTTAGAGATCCATTCCTTGTCTTGTTTCCTTTTTCTTCCTAATACGGTTATGCAAGCATAGCTTTCAAAGAATTTTAGTGTTCTGCCACACAGGTTTCTTCAGGGACGTTGCTCAATATCTCCCATTTTGTCCGGATGGCTGACGGACTATATCAAATAGAAACTATCAATTCAAATTTCCAAGTGATCTCGGATTTCTTTCGAAATTTGCATCATTTTTACAGTGTAGCAATAGCAGTCTGTTAAAGAATGCTGATCTTCAGAGCTTAAATATACTCTTTTTTCTGAACCATATATTAATGACAATTAAAATGATATTTTAAGAAGTCACCAGCTGTTTCTCGAAATCGAACGTAAAAAACTTTTCGTGTGTTGCACAACTTGGTAGAGCAAGCGAAATATGAAACAGTTAACCAAAACTGGTGAATTTCTTCGACAAAGCAGAAACAATAGAAATGCTGACAGACCTGTTACATCATATAACTTGACTCTATATAGCATCCCTGGACAGAACGAAATTAGCTTAGCATGTTAATTCAAACACTTGCAGTCAATAAGTAGACACGTTCCCCAATCGAAATTTTCTTGTCAGTCTGATGGGAGTATTGTTAAGCTTTTCATTTCTTATGTATTATATATGAAGACAAACCTTAACGTAAATAAATTCATATTATTCCGCTTTAACTGTTCGTATTATTCCACTCAAGTTTGTGAATATAAAAATATATATGAAATATATCATAATCCTCTAAATCTCTCCTTCAGGAAAATAATCTACACCAATTATCTCGAGTTCCTAACCGAAATGAACTTGAATTAATGAAACAAGTGTTAAACTATACATAGAGAAGCATTGAATTGACTGACTTGAAAATCCAGATCTTGTTCACACTTTATTTTGAGTGCAGTGCAGTACAATAGATTTCCACACTGGTCTCAGATTAATGAAGGTCTGTTTTGCTTTTTCGATCCTGGCTTTGACATTCTCATCTGTGCCGCCATTGCCACCTGTAGTTGAAAGGATGCTGCCTAGGTGGTAGGTGAAAGAGAAAACTTTGTTTAGATTTCTCCCGTTGATGGTGTTTGTTGCTTGGATATATATATATATATATATATATATATATATATATATATATATATATATATTAACAGATTACTGTTAGTGCTACACTGTAGAAATGATGCAAATTTCAAATGAAATCCTAGATCACTTGGAAATTTAAATTGATAGTCGCTACTTGACATACTTCACTGCCAATCGAGTGATTAATTTGTCAGTCAGAGGTAAGTTGGTATGGTGTCTAACCAACTATCAGCTCCTTATGTTATTTTATTTACAACTTACCCCAAATATGTGAAACATCAAACTAGTTCTGGATACCCTTGTTAAATATTTATTGACCCTTAGGGATGTTTTAATACTTTACAGGTGAACGATACCGAACAACATCAGTTGACGAACGAATTCTCTCAAGATGTAACCATTAAGATATTTATTGTTTGGATATTCCAAAGCATTTCACAACTGTATGTAGGTCTGTCTATGAGGAACATCAGTTTCTGTTCATGAACTGATTTGATAAACCGCTCTTTATTCCTTAGCAAAACCGTTGAAATTCACTGTTTGCTAACCAAAAATCCACATTTTATTCATCCAGTCCATGGGTATACTGACAATACAGTAGCAAAGCACCATATAAGTTCACATGTAACAATACAATTTGTCCGTTTCATTCTTGTGATAGCTAGCTAACAGTCATCAAATTAGTCATCTACAACTATGTATTCATTCAGAAAATGTTATCTCAATGTCGTCGTCGATTTTCTTAGGTGTTTCATTCATTTTGGATTGATTTTCGTTAACCGTTGTGCTTTTCAACTTCATTTACCTGACTTATTTTACTGATGTGCATATACTAGCCCGAAATTCATTGTATGCCTATATTTTTCCAGTATTTCGATTGATATATTGAAACAAAATACGTTGACACAATGATCGATTGCGGATATATGAAGATTATTTCATATGGTATATTGATTGTACATATAGTAATGAGGATTCGTTTAATCACATTGTTATTACTATCATCATGATTATTTTTCCTTTTTGTTTTTGAGTTAAATTTAATCCCAAATGTTCTGTTTTTATCGTTTCTCGTATTCTTGTTCTTTCTACAATTGTTTTATTAATCTCCTATTTTATAGTTGGAGTTATTTTAGTGTGTTGCCTTACATTATCGACTACATTCATGATATGTGCATGTATTTCATGTACAAATTATCCCTATTTATTCCCTGGTTATCGTCATCAGAATAATAAACACCAAAAACCAATAAATCAACCAAGTTTACTGTTACTTAAACGACGTTATCGTAATAATTGTAAAACGGCAATTCAATTAGAAGGTTTAAAGTCTACTAGAAAGTTGAATAATCGTCAGAGTAGACTTCACAAACTATACTTAAAACATGAATCTACTTCACAGGCAGACAGACAACAATTACTTGGTGATGTTCATGATGACAACACAGGTATTGCCTATTACAATAATGATACTACTGCGGAGATGGAAGATGAATATGAAGAATACAATCGATTTTCTACTCAGCATATAGATGACAAAACATTTTTAGATTTACTACGTCAACCGAACGGTCGGTATCCTTAGTTGTGATTATTTCTAGTGGGCGAGGGTATACATTAATAATTATACTGTTCTACTGTGTTACTACATAATTTAATAGCGTTATATATTTTTGTTTCTGCTTCGTTTTGTGCTTTCAGGTTAGCAAACTGTGTGAAGATTTATTTTTATAATGTATAATTTGTAACTGTTTTCAGTCTTTATTTTCTTCGCAACTTCAGTTCATTCACGTGTGTATGTGTGTGCATCTGTATGGAGGTGTATGATATCATTTTACATTGTTTTTTTTTCAATAGTTGCTTATATTTTGTTGTGGAGTTTTCTTATATTTCTCTTTTGTTCTGTATGTTTCTTATTTATTGAAAAGACTGTTTTCTGATGAGTTGATTGATGTCTAATATTTTCAATTTTATTGTTTCATGGTTATTAGTATACAAGCATTCGTTAAAGGTTAGTTAGCCTTGTTGTCTACATAGTATTTAGCAGTGGGATACAGAACGCACATTTCATCCAACTTGGGACTCGTCAGCTGGATGTACCTACAGTTTAGTGGTTGATGGTGTTGCCACTGTGACTGTAACCCAGTACCTATCGTGTTATCTACTAGGTTGTTAAGGGATGAGATCCACCCATTGTGCTACAAGTATCGATTTATGCTTGATACTTGTAATCTCCCATTGCTATACTGGGTCGAGTTACTTGACGTTTGTTAGTTAGCCTTTTTGAAAAGAAATGCAAATCGCTTTTTGACTCGAATGTTAAAGAATAATTGTACTCCATGAATGAACTAACAGGTAGATACAAATGTTAATCTGAAGGAGGAAGCGAGTTGGTTATATGATCATTCTAAGGGTTGTCTGGACTTCTATTTAAGTTGAATGAGTATAATTTTAGGCTTCTTATATCATATATGTGTATCATGAATCACTGGACAGAAAATGAGTTTTGGCTATAACTGATTTGTCCTTTTAGTTTGAATAAATTCCACTATTCTAACTTAGTATCAAGCTTATTTGTCTACCATTAGATCGTAGTCGTGTAGCTGTCTCATTCAAACTAATTGTTGATACGTTTCAAGCTTCAATTTGATCTCATTGATAAGTTATTACCACGCGAACACTTCAATTCATCATCAATCATAAGGGTTTTAAAATTAGAGAATATGAAAAGATTACAGGGTTTTTGATCGTAGGCGTCTTTGTGACATTGTTGATTTGTGGTGGACCCCAATGTTGAGAAATGTCGAAGTTGAATATAGTGTACTAAGAATGAATGAAACTTACAACCTGAGGTATCTGGAACATGTATTACTATCCTGTCGCAGACACATTAGCTAATTTAGAAATCAACATATAATAGCAATCTACGAAATGTCTGATTATTGGTCTTTACTACGTTGACAAATGTAAGCTGCATGCCTTAGGGTACTCAAGATTGATGACCATCCTTAATATGAATCAAAATAAACTATGGTGTGACATGCATACATTCATTGTATTGTCTTCAAAACTTTGAACATTTCCGCTAATTTTCAATTATTCCAACTGTTTTCATAGTTGGTTTAGTATTTGTTTTTTGTCCACTTCGTTTTTTGTGTGCTGCAGTTGTGATGTGGAACAACTTTAACTGTTGCGCTTATGTGAAAGGCTTTGCGTTTAACTATCTGTAACAGCCAGATAGTTCATATTGTCGAAATACTTGAAGATTCACTTCAATATTCCTTCCAACTTTTATGCGAGTTCTCTCTTCTTTTTCACATCTACAGTAGAAGCTTAGACAATCAGCCCCTTCTATGCCTACCTTACCCTGAAAGACTAGATGATACATGTTCCAGTTTGAAGTTGAGTAATTTGTATCTCCAGGTATTCAGGAACAGTTGCATGTAGGGTGCTACACTCGGTTATCACTTATTGCATTTGCACTTCGGTCTGTTGTATCTGTCTAACCATTCAGGTTGTCAACCCTACTACTTGGAGTTTCAAGATGTTTGTAAGATTTTGTAGGAGAGGTTCTAGTGACTACTGACTTACATAATTTGGAACAACTAACTAAATAGGTCTCGGCAAACTTTGGATAAATCGAATTTGAGACGTTTTATAGCTATACGATATGAACATCGTCACGGTTCAGTTAGCAGAATCTGTTTTTGCGGAAAGAGTATTTGTTTGTATTATATTATGGGTCGACGGTTCACTAGTTCCAATATTCAACTTTTAATCATTGAAGCATATTTCGAATCCTGCCACATTTACCAAAGTTCGTTAGGTTAGGGAATATCACCAACCGCCACACAACGTGTGGTTCACTGCTCAGTGTACAAATCAGTATTTATCGGTATACTTGCAACTGAGTACATGAGCAACGTGAGTGGCAAACAGACTTCCTGGCACTATTCGTCTGGTATTAATTTGGTGATAACGAATGTCTACATAAATTTGAAGTTCTTCCAGGATATCGTCAGTCACTTTTGTCAAAAATTCTTTTCTATGAGTTAAATTCTAGCTACTCACAGGACCTACGTGAAGGCTCCTGTCAGTGTTTTATTTCTCACTGCCTAATAAATTGTTAATTTCGTCCGGGCATATGCCTAAGAGAATGAACCATGTAGGTGTGGGTTGAGACTGTGAAGTGACTGCATGTTATGAACCCTAAGAAACAGAGGCATCATCAACTATCCAAATTACCAAATTGCGCATCGAGCGAAAAGGCGAATAAACAAGTAGAAATAACATTACAAATCGTAGCGGAACATACCATAAGAAGTAAATAAAATTTAGGGAATAAAAATATTCAATATTTTGGTTAAGGTGAAGACAAGAATGAATTTACACCACTACGATTCATTTTGAGCTCTACGGTATAACGTCTGTAACCGACGCCTCCTGTTTTTTCGTGGTTGCCAACCATGAGACCAGCATTTTCCCACACTTCTCAAACCAGTTGCCAGAAGCTTCATGGGTTAGATTTATGACGCGATCTAGTCATCCGTTGTTTTCTGCCCGACTAATTCTTTGATGGTGTTGTGTTCTTTGTTCTGGATGGCTTAGTCATGGAGCTTTTACTATCCTAGATAAAATCATCAACAGAATCTAAAATTGCATTTTGGGACATATAGTGATTACTCTTTTGTAACACACGTGTCAGTCAGTTTATTTCGTGGCTTACACGCTCCATAACAAAATTATTCATCTTATTTCAAACTCCACGCTTAACCTTCACATCGCTGACGTGGGTGTTCACATCACATGTGGGTGTTGCTATGTGCATAACACTGACCAAGTACTTTAAACCTGAAAAGTTTCAATTTTTAACAACTAAACTTCCCAGTCACAGTAGGACAGTTCAAATTGCCGTGCACTACATCGAATAGTCAAATATCTTATCAGCATCACAACTGGCGAGCATATTGTATGCCTGCCGGTGTTTCTCACCGATATCATTGGATGATGATCACTAACTGGCAGAAGTCGGTAAATGTGGACCATTAGATTTTGTTGAAGTAGGCCCTATTGTTTTCCTTTTAATGTGAGTTTTCTACCTACTTCACTCTCATATAAATGTGCTTACAATTTAGTGATTTTACTGCCTAGGTTAAAATTGACAGATAATTTCAATGCTACTGAAAAATATCAACTGTCAAAGTCATTTATGCAATTAGACAAAAAAATGATAAAGTAGGTTACTAGTATTTGATAAATAGGTATTTCCAGTCTATCAAACCCTAGTACATGTAACATACTTTTGTCATGAACATGAAATTCAGTGTTGGGAGTCAGACAACAGGAATCCCTGGATCTATCTTCCGTTCTTATTGGTAAGGCACATCCATAATCTTGCGGAAACTCAATTCCTCGATGATTCGGATCGGTATTGTAGCGTCACACACTTCCCCAAAATCAATAGCCTAGGGTTTGACGACTTTCGACATTGATGCTGACGATAGTTTAACTGGACCCGCTAAGCTGAAGGCACCCGGTCAAGCATCCTGGGCATTTGGCACGCTGTCGTGTTACGTTGCATTGCTCGTATTCGACTCTCTAGCCAGTTAGTTGGAACGCATCGGTATTTTGGCACGACCATCCAAATATACTATTCCACCCGACTACGCTATTGTGTTCTTCCTTGGTCTCGTATTCGTGGGTATATAACAAGTCCGAATAATTAGTGATTGGTCTTTGCGTCTGTCAAGTTCGCACCAGGACAGTATCACTCAAAAGTGGAGTTGGTGACTTCACCAATAAGTTATAGAAAAAATAACTGACTCCCTGTGAAACGAGCATATACACAATGGCCCATGAGTTTCCCCTAAGTTGCAGATATACTTTGTGGATGAGTGCAAATCAACACCAAACCTGATTCTAGGGTTTTCTATAGATTAACTTCTAATATCTACAACTAAATTGCAGTAAACTCTAGTGTATACCACTTAGCTCAGTGCTCACATTGAGAAGTTGATCGATAGACTTTGGTCACTATTGAACGCTTAAGACAACAGTCACATAAGTTAAACATTTATAAAGGCTTTCAGGCTTACATTGAACTTATAGGCAACAACTTTGAGGTAAGAAGTATATTGCTTCGATGTTTGGGGGTGGCAAAGGTAAGTGAAGATAAAACTGTTTAGTGCCTGAGGATGTCATAAAAAAATTGATGTCATCTGATAATCTAAATTACACTATCAAGATATACATTAAGCCTACCATACATCTCGAATTGATTATCATTAGTTTCATTACAAGTGTCATCACTCATTGTTGGAAGTGAATGAATTATGATAATTATTCGATCAGACATCGATAGTTACTACTAAACTTTCACTACAATAGTCGATAACTTCATCAACAGCAATTTAATCAATAAGTGGGAAATATTTAGTCACAGAAACATTTATAGTTTTCCTTTTCTGAGGGAAGACTGACCATGTCTGCACATACTCGCCAAAAAATCTGTTGTCATTTTAGAAACAGACTGTCCACGCAAACTAGCGTTATTGTGATATTCATGTGTTGCTTTACTCTGTAATGCACCATCCTGGCAACAAAATGCAACTAGAGCCAAAATAAATAAATAAAATAAACTAAATAAACCTCTAACTTACCTCCGAATGCTTAAGGTGTTTTAAGTTTTGTTTTAACAAGCATACTTCCGAGCGGGCTTCAATGCCATTTTGCATTGCCTTTGCACTGGTTAACATGCACATTCTCAGAGTCCCTAGTTCAGCCATACTAGCCATATAAGTTGGATAAACTTTTCGCTTTGTAATTAATTACTATCACATTCATTCTAATTAAATAGACTGCTTCTCAAGTACCGGTTCTTTTTATCTGTGTTTCGTTATCAGTAATTACACGTTAGGTAACGTACTGACTAAGCAGGTACTAGAGCACATCGAGTTAAGTAGGGTTGGTCAAGCATTACGTAATAGTAGCACATCCAGTAACCCCACAACTCTTT